TGTGTGTGTGTGTGTATTTTCTATCATCTACCATCTGCCTATCAATCTACCTGTATCTTTTACCTTATTTAAATGTCAACATGTTCTTTCTCCTCTACCCCTACAAGGTAGACTCCTTGCAGATAAGGATTGCATTAATTTTATATTCATATATATTTATTTTTGTATGTGTGTGTATATATGTATTTTTATATTTGTATATGTTTTACGGTTATGTATATATTTTTTGTTTATACATATGTGTGTATATTTTTATATTTATATATATTGATATTTGTATCTTCAGTACCTAGCACATAATAAATGATTTATTAATTATAGATATTTATTAGTATATGTTTATAGAAAGTTGTAAGGGAGGGGCCAATTTAGAAGAAAGGTGGATATTTAGAAATAGCTATGGCATCTATCAAAAGGTATCAAAAAAAACCAAAACTAGTCATTTAGACCTTGTAGAACATCCCAAAGCCTCTTGGGAAAAAATGTATATATGCATGTACATATATACATTCACATACAGAATATACATAGATATGCATTTATAATTCATTAGGAATTCAAATAGAAAATACAGATAAAAGTTCTCCATATGTGTATAAGATACTTTATATTTAAAATCAGTTGAACATTTTTACCTTGCAGCAGAGAATGAGGAAGAATCTGTTTTTCTATCATAGATGGCAGAAATATAACTACAGAAATACCAATCTCCATCACATTATATTTAATGGTACTTTGATTGCTAGTGTTTTATCACTTTTAATAGAATTGAGAAGAACTTTTTCTGTTCTCATAATGAAAGGCTAAAATGACATTTCTCAGAAGTGCTCAGCTTTAAGGAGAGGCAGTACGATATATAATTAATCTTTAGATAAATGATTTGCTATGTGGGTCACTAGAGACTCTCTGAAGTTCAGTGGAGAGAACAAAAAGGAAAAATTCTAGAATTCCATCATTTCATTCCCCTTTCTACTCTTGGTCCCCAGAGAGACATGGGTAGATTAATAATGCTCTGATTTCTATTCTGTGACATGGTGACCCTAAGACTCCCTCCCATGTTATGGGAATGTCAGACTGTAGCACCATCTGGAAATAAAAAACGACCTAAAAATGCTAAATGGCTGTGGGTATCTTTAACGAGTGACCTCAGAAAGTGAACTCCTTTTTAACATACTCCAAAATTATTCCATGTGTATTCCACATTAGATGCTCATTCATTCAACAGCTATTATGTTAAAGGCATTGTCTAGTGCCCTGGTGGATACAAGGAAGAATAAAACAATGTATATGTCCTCATGGAGCAAGATGAAATATGTATCAATAACTAAATATCTGAATTGAACTGAATTACAAAGGTAGTTTGAGGGAGGAGGAAATCATTTTTTGTTTAGGGCTTTGGGAAAGGGGCAGGGGCGGAGAATGAGATCAAAGATGGCTTCATGGAAAAAATAGCAGTTGAACTAGGCATTGAAAGATGGATAGGAATTACACAGGCAGAGCTAGGGAGAGAAGAATATCTTAAGTGGAGAGGGCAGTGTGAACAAAAAGCATGGAATTATGTTTGGGGAAACAGTGAGGAGTCTGATGGGAATGTAAAGTGTGTGAAGGAGAATGTCAGTAGAAAAGGCTAGGTAGGAAGTTCTTGAGGTGTTTTCATCATATTTTGGGACCCATTGAGATTTATTTATTCTAATGATTTTTTTTTCTAAATTTATTTTTAATTTATAGAATAAAATAAGCATTTCTATAACATAATATAATTTTAAAAAAGATGATTGCACATGAAACTGCAAGTCTACTATGTATAACTTGTTATTCCTTTTGAATACACAACAAAGCTGTCATGTAAATTTCTTTCTTCTTTTTTTTTCTTCTTCTCCGTCCCCCGCCCTAGAGATGGCCACCATTAGCCACAAATAAGTATGTATATCTATATCTATATGTGTGTGCGTGTAAAATTTTTCTATATATACTTATGTTTATCAGTTCTTTCCCTGGATGCAGATAGCATCTTTCTTGATATGTCCTTTATAGTTAATTTGGGTGTTTATAATAATATTTACTCTAATGATTCTTAACCTTTTTGTGTCATGAGCCCCTTTGGCAGACTAGTGAAACCTGTAGAACTCTTTTCAGTATAACATTGTTAAATGAATAAAATAAAATACATAAGATTATTTTAAAAACCACTTATATTGAAATATAGTTATTACAATATTAATTTTTAAAGCTTAAGAATTTCTGACTTGGAAACTGAGGGATGCCCATCAATTGGAGAATGGCCAAACAAGTTGTGGAATATGATTGTAGTGGAATATGATTGTAATGGAATACTATTGTGCTATAAGAAATGAAAATGAGTTTCATTAATTTTACATTGTACATATATCTTGATCAATGGTACTGTGGTTATTCTTAAGCTTTGCTAAGGGAGAGCCTAGTTTACCCAACAATACATTGGGACAGATCTCTGAAAAGAGCAGGCTACCATCATCAATAAATGAAAAGTGCTTTGTAAATCATAAAGCACTCACTAAAGTTATCATCATCATCAACATTACTATCCTTACACTTCAAAATCTTATAAGCAACATACTTCCAGCTTGGTGTTCATAAACAATCTTTCCAAAAACATAGAGCTATCACATAAACCACAAATTTGAGAATTACTTAGGTTTGTTTTGTTTTGTTTTTTAATTCCCAGAACCAAGATTCTATCCACAGGAAAAAACAAAAACATCTTTTGTCAGGAAGACATGCTTGGGTTCTATTGATCACATACCTTTAAATCTTGTTCCAGACTTCTGATGAGCTCTCCATCCACCTGGCCAGTCTGAGCAACCTTCAGGCTTTTCTGTTCAGCTTTCCTGAGACGGTACTGCAGGATACGGCAGTTCTTATTAGCACGATCTAGTTCTCGTCTGAGTTCTTGCAATTGGTAAACATCTTCTTCTAAATAGCTGTCCCGCATCTCTTCCATTTCTGCACGAAGTTCATCCAGTTCATCCTGTACAAACCCAACCCAAACAGATTTACAAGCCTGTTTCATCGAAAACAAAATAAAACAAAAAAACCAACCGGTTTTTATAGGCCTACAGGAACAAAACCCAGCACGCTTAGGAATTAACTTTAAATGTACAAAGTTATCCTTATTGATGCCTTATTGGCCTCTGTTATGATAAAAGGGAGCCTTTGGGATTTGCCATCCAAAGTGATGTCTTTAAAAGCCTTGGTCTAGCCTTATAACCCCAGATATTAAAAGTAGATAATTATTACAGGTGTCAATTTCTGGGATCGATTCCACAGCAACTCTTTTGCTTCTATAAGCACAATTGAAATGAAAGTTCTTTGGTCTACAACCTTAATTTAACTGTTTGTTACTGTTAGAACCACATTTAAATGCATTTCAATTTCTGCTTCAGAACATACATCTCAGCTTTCAGACAAGAAACAAACAATTTCACATCAAGATCATTTTGATTATTAAGAGCAGAATGTTTTTTGGTTATGTATTATTTCTCCCACATAGAATGTAAACTCCTGGAGGGCTTATTGACCTGCTATATTTAATTTCTCATCCATACTCTACCTAGACTCTTTAATATAGATGGATAATCCACATACATAAAAAGACAGTCATTTGGTATGGCAGCTGGCATAGGAGATAAAGAGCTACCTTTGGAGAAGATGTGGTTCTTTTTTTCCCCTTCCATATTAACCATGATGCAGGGGAGGGGGGGAATGGAAGCAAGAAAGATAAAGTGAAGGAAAATATGCTTCAGTCTATACTCAGAGTTAATCAATTCTTTCTCTGGAGGTGGAGAGTATTTTTCATCATGAGTCCTTTGGAATAGTTGTGGAGCATTGTGTTGATCAGAAAAGCTAAGTCTTTCACAGCTGATCATCATTACAATATTGCTATTACTATGTACAATGTTCTCCTGGTTCTACTACTCACTTTACTTTGCATCAGTTCATATAAGTCTTCCCAGGATTTTCTGAAACCATCCTGCTCATCATTTCTTATAGCACAATAGTATTCCATCACTATCATATGCCACAAATTGTTTGGCCATTCCCCAGTTGATGGGCATTCCGAAGTTTCCAATTCTTTGCCATAACAAAAAGATCCACTATAAACATTTTTGTACATGTGGTTCCTTTTCCCTTTTCTTTGATCTCTTGGGATACAGACCTAGTAGTGGTATCACTAGGTTAAAGGGTATGCACAGTTTTATAGCTCTTTGGGCATAGTTATAAATTTTCCTCCAGAATGGTTAAACAAGTTCATAGCTACACCGACAGTGCATTAGTATACCTATTTTTCCATCTCCCCTCCAGTATTTATCATTTTCCTTTTCTGTCATCTTAAACAATCTGATGGGTGTGAGATGGTAACTCAGAGTTGTTTTAATTTGCACTTCTCTAATTTTTAGTAAATTAGAACACTTTTTCATATGACTATTATAAGCTTTTATTTCTTCTTCTGAAAACTGCAAATTTATGTACTTTAACCATTTGTCAATCAGAGTATAACTTTTATTTTTATAAATTTGCCTCAGTTCCCTAAATATTTGAGAAATGAGGCCTTCAGAGAAAATTGTTGAAACTGCCCCCCAAATTTCCTGATTTCTTTCTATTTTGACTAAATTGGTCTTGTTTTTGCAAAACTTTTTTTTAATTTAATGTAATCAAAATTATTCATTTTACCTCCTATGATCTTCTCTATCTCTTGTTTAGTTCATGAATTCTTCCTTTTATCCATTGATCTAACAGGTACTTTCCCCCCTACTTTCCTAATTTGCTTATGATTTCAATTTTTATGACTAAATCATGTACCATTTTTGACCTTATCTTATTATATGGTGTGAAATGTTGTTCCATGTCTAGTTTCTGCCAGATTGTATTCCAATTTTCCCAGCAGTTTTAGCCAAATAATGAGTTCTTGTCTTAATATCTTAGATCTTTGGGTTTATCAGACACTAGTTTATTTTGGTCATTTACTTCTGTATGTTGTGTGCCTAATATATTCCATTCATCAACCACTGTATTTCTTATCCAGTATCAGATTGGTTTTTTGTTTTGTTTTTTTGGGAATGGGGTTAAGTGACTTGCCCAGGGTCACACAGCTAGTAAGTGTCAAGTGTCTGAGGACAGATTTGAACTCAGGTCCTCCTGACTCCAGGGTCAGTGCTATATCCACTGTGCCACCTAGCGGCCCCAGTATCAGATTGTTTTGATGATTACTACCTTTCAGTATAGTTTGAGATCTGGTTCTGGTAGGTCTTCTTTCACTGTTGTTCTTTTTTTAATTGATACTCTTGACATTCTTGATCTTTAGTTCCACCAGATGAATTTTATTCTTATTTTTTCTAGTACTATAGAATAATTCTTTGGTTGTTTGATTAGTACAGCATTGTGTAAGTAAAGTAATTTAGGTAGTATTGTCATTTTTCTTATACTGGCTTGACCAACTCATGATGAATTAATTTTCCTCCTACTGTTTAGATCTTCTTTATTTGTGTGAAAGGTGCCTTGTAACTGTGTTTATGTAATTCCTGTGTGTATCTTGTCATGAAGACTTCCAACGCAGTTATTCTAAATGGGATTACTCTATCTCTTTCTACTAGATTTTGGTGGATACATACACACACACACACATATACACACATATACACACACATATATATGTATCCACCAAAATCCATATATATATATATATATACACATATGTATATACACATTTATATTTGTGAATATATAATATAAACAATATATAATATAAATAACATAAACATATATACATGCTGATGATTTATGCAGGTTTGTTTTACAACTGCTAAAGCAGTTAATTGTTTCAGCTACTTTTTAGTTGATTTTCTTGATTTCTCTACTAATACTATCATATCAACTACAAAGAGTGATAGTTTTGTTTCCTAGTTTTGCCTATTCTTATTCCTTTAATTTCTTTTTCTTGTCATTGCTATAGCTAACATTTCTAGTACAATATTGAATAATAATGGACATTCTTGCTTCATCCTGACCTTACTGGAAATGTTTCTAGCTTATTTTCATTACAGATAATGCCTACTCTTGATTTTAGACATTTTAAGAAAAGATCCATTTATTCCTATGCTTGCTAATGTTTTTTTTTAAATAAAAATGGGTGTTGTATTTTATCAAAAGCTTTTTCTACATCTATTATCACATGATTTTTGTTTTTTCTTAAAATTCATATAGTCAATCATGATTACAGTTTTCCTAATATTGAACTAGTCCTGCATGCCTGGTATAAATTCCACCTGGTCATAGTGTATGAACTTTGTGATATATTGCTGTAATCACCTTGTTAATATTTTATTTACCATCATTACATCAATATTCAATAGGAAAAATGGTCCATAGTTTTCTTTCTCTGTTTTTCCTCTTTCTGGGATAGGTGTCAAAACAATGTTTATGTCATAGAAGAAATTTGCAGGACTTAATTTTTTTTTAAAAATAATCTATACAGAGCATTGGAATTAATTGTTCTTTAGGTGTTTGGTAGAATTCACCTGTAAATCTATCTGGTCCTGAGGATTTTTCCTAGGGAGTTCATTTATGATTTGTTCAATTTCTTTTTCTAAGAAAAAGTTATTTAAGTATTCTATTTCCTTTTCTATAAAATCTCCGCAACTTATATCTTTGTGAATATTTATCTATTTAATTTAGATTGTTAATTTTACTGACATATAGTTAGACAAAATTGCTCTTAATAAGTGCTTTAATTTCACCTTCATTGGTGGTGCATTTGCCCTTTTCATATTCAATACTGGCAATTTAGTTTTCTTCTTTATTTTTTAAATCAAGTTAGCCAATGGTTAATGCATTTTTTCATACAATCAGTTTCTAATTTTATTTATTTGTTCAATGCTTGTTTGTTTATTTTTTAACTTTCAATTTTATTCATCTCTACTTTGAGGGTCAGGATTTATATTTTGGTGTTTACTTGGGAATTTTTAATTTGTTGTTTTTCTAGTTTTTTAGTTGTATGCCAAAATCACTGATCTCCTTTTTCTCTCTTTTAAATGATAGAAGCTTTTAAAGATATAAAACTTTTCCTAGGTACTGCTTTGGCTGCATTCTATAAATTTTGGTATGTTGTCTTATCATTGTTATTCTCTTTAATGAAATCATTATTTGTTTCTATGATTTCTTGTTTTACTCACTCATTCTTTAGAATTAGGTTATTTAGTTTCCAATTAATTTTAATTCTATACTTCCTTGGCCATTTATTGAATGTAATTTTATTGCATTATTCTTTGAAAGGGGTGCATTAAATATTTCTGCTTTTCAGCATTTTATGGCCTAACAGATGGTTGATTTTTGTGAAGATGCCATAAACAGCTGAGAAAGAGGTATACTTTTTTTTCCTATTCCCATTCATTATTCTCTAAAGGTCTATCATATTTAACTTTTTTTAAAAATTCTATTCATCTTCTTAACTTCTTCATTTTATGATTAGATTTATTTAGACCTGAGAGGGGAAAATTGAGTTTCCCAGGTATAGGTTTACCCTCTATTTCCTCCTATGACTCATTTAACTTTTACTTCAAGAATTTAAATACTATTCCATTTGGTATATATATATATGTTTGGTATTGATATTACTTCATTGTCTGTAGTGCCTTTTAGCAAAATGTAGTTTCCCTGAATATCTCTTTTAATTAGGTCTATTTTTGCTTTTGTTTTGTCTGAGATCATAATTGCTACCCCTGCCTTTTTAACTTCAGCTGAAGCATAATAGATTCTGCTCCCAGTTCCTGATTTTAACTGTATGTCTTTCTTTTTCAAGTGTGTCTCTTGTAAATAATATATTGTTGGATTCTGGTTTCTAATCTATTTTCTACTTGCTTCCATTTTATGGGTGATTTCATCCATCTACATTCACAGTTATGTTTGCTAGATCCTCTTTTATTTATCCTTCTCTTTTCCTACTCTGTCCCTTCTTAAAAAAAATGTGTTTAG